CCAAATATTGAAGATTCTCCTTAAAAAAGACTGAACATGTTTACAGGTTTGAATTTGGCTAAAAGGTCTTGCAGTGGCTTTTCATGCCCCTTCAAATTGGAATGGAACTACTGTACTTTGCCATTTTTCTATAAATCAGTATTTTTTTTTAATTTTGATATAATACATTGTGTGAAAAAGAAAATGGCTAATAAACTGTATTAAATCTTAAACAATGTATAAAGATTGTAATTAGCCAGTTCAAAGTGTATATTTATTCATAATGAATTATAACAGTTATATTTTTGTGTTTTCTTGTAAATGTTTCTTTTCCCTTAAATACAGATAATTCATTTGTATTGCTTATTTTATTATGAGCTACAACAAAGGACTTCAGGAACAAACTGTGTTAGTATGGTTCAAGGTTTGTATGAACTGTCTTGAGAAAGATGGTTGTTATTTTAAGTATAAATAGCTAATTGGGGTGATAGGCCTTTAAAATTAAATGCCTTGTATAAAATCCAAAATGAACGCAAAATTGTTTTCACTTGTATTGACTCTATGTTGTATGATTCCAATCTCTGTTCTGTTTGGCACTTGTATTTAATTCTTCACCTTTGTAAGACATTTGTATATTGAGGATGTGTTCATTGAAGCTATTTAATACCTGGCACTGTTAATACACAGTACTTTGCTGTACAGACTGTTTTACTGTTTTAATTGTAGTTCTGTGTACTTTTTTTGAATGGGGCTGGCATGTTTTGTTTGTTTTCTGGCAATACGACGTGAGAATTTCAAAGCATTTTGTTGTAGATGCTAACGTGTCAGAATCCTTAATCCTTTACATTCAACTTTTCTAAGAAAAGCATTTTCAGTCTTGTAGTGTGTGCTTATAGTAACTAATTTTGTTGAAAATGGTTTCAAGTTACTCAGATTTGTACAGGACTGTAAAGATTTGTTGACAGCAAAATGTTGAAGAAAAAGCTTATAGAATAAAAGCTATAAAGTATATATTAGGATCTGCAAACAATGAAGAATTATGTAATATATTGTACAAATGTAAGCAAAGGCTCTGAAATAAAATGCCATAGTTTGTGAATCCTTGATTTTGTTTCTAAAAGATAATTACATATAGTAATGAACTAACTAGAACACATACCGCTAGTATATATATTAGCACAAATGGCTAACTGACATATAAAAATGGGAATATTCCATCTTTAAAAATTACAATTCCATTCACCAGGGCTGGAGGTGTAGCTCAGTGGTAGAATGTGTGCTTAGCATGCATAAGACAGAGTACAATCCCTAGCCTCAAAATTTTTAAAAAGTCCATTTGAGATGATTGATAGGAATTTGGGAATAAAGGAAGAGAGAGTTCCAAAGGAAGTGCCTGTAAGCCACCGAAATGCAGCACCTGTGAAATGCAGCTCCCAAGCAACATGCCCTCGCCTGTGCCTGTGTACAGAGGGTAGTTTGCAAGTGCAGGAAATACTTGYGCAAAATTAGGTAAGTCTGTCTGGGTCCACCTTAGATCTAGCCTCTAGCATGGATGCTGCACCAACAGGTTGCTGCCTCTCTCTGGAAATGGCCTATATTCTCCCTTGAATGCATAATCCTTGCTTTACCAGAATGTATCTGACTACCCCAATCTCCTTTCAATATCTACTTTCCTAAATAAACCTGTCTCTGCCTCTGACTGGCACTTGCTGAAATTATTTTTTTTGTCACACATGCCAAGAATAGCACTGGTCAATTTTCCCTTCTCTCTGGAAACTCCTCAAACCCTTCTTCAGAGACATGTCTTCTCCTGTGACATCTTAAATCAGAAAAGGGATTGTTTTAGGCCTTTTTGAAGTACATACACTGTTTTACTTGAATCTGTATTTTTCTTAAGACTTCATTCTCCAAAGAAGAAAAAAATTAAAAATTTTCATTAACACAAAAAACATTACCAGTAGCTATTTTTTAAAATTTTAACTAGATCTTTATTAAGTCTGTCTTACTCTTGTTGCAATCGGGAATCAAATGGGCATTACTAAAACAAGTTAATACTAAAACCCCACCTCAGAGAGTTCTATTTAATTGGTCTGGCACAGTACCTGAGTGTTGATTTTTTTTTAACAGAATTTATTATACTCATTAGGTCCTGGAGGAAGGAGGGTATTTATTCCATGCAGATTCACATGGGAAAGATGGCAGGATGGTCAGGTGGAGTAAGACAGGAATGAAGGGAAGGGTTAGGTCTATGAGGTTTTTGTTGTTGTTGTTTTGTTCAAGGTATTGAACCTTGGGGCCCTTAATAAGTCACATCCCAGCCCTTTTTATTTTGAGATAGGGTCTTGCCTAGTTACTTAGGGCCTTGCTTAGTTGTTGAGTCTGGCTTTGAACTCCAGTGATTTTAATGTGTACCTGTGTTGAAAACCATTGCAATGCTCCAAATCTTCTACTATCAACATTTAGCTTTTTGTTCCCATTTAGTGGATTTTCCAACAAAAGAAAAAGTTCTTAAGACAATGAAAATTAACTTGGACACAAAAAATCTCAAATATGCATTAAAGCATCTTTGGGTAGATCCTTTATTTTACAGAAATTAGTTTTAAGGGAGAGGTTTTAAAATCTGTCAAACCTGCTTCCCCAAATGAGTTTCTAAATATTGTCCCCTAGAAATGTATTCTCAAATACATCTGGTAATGCTCTATAGAGCATACTCTTTGTAAGGAGTCGGTGTTGACTATTTAAAAGGTGAGAAAGCTTGTAGAAAGATACTTGGCTTTATCCTATTGTTTTCAATCTTACTCATCACAAAACCCTAAAATGTTACAGACAGTGCTCCAGAGAGTAATGATTACCAATTTTGTTGGTAATCATATGCTTATGCCCCTTTTTCACTAACCTCTCTAAAGGGTTTGAGAATTTCATTATATATCTAGAATTTGACCCAAGTCTACCAAGGATTGCCTAAAGTACATTTATTAGGTTAGCTTACAATATGTTATAAAACTGAGATGTTATATTGTTTTCCAAAAGGTTGGTTTCTTATTGAAGTAACTTTAGGCAATTTTCTGATAAAGTGGAGCAGAATCCATGAAACCCCTAACATTTCTTTCTCTTACTTTTGGAACCAGGGATTGAAGCCTGGGAACTGAGGTACATCCCAGCCATTTCTAATTTTGAGACAGGGTCTAAGTTACTTAGACCCTGTTAAGTTGCTGGGATTTCAGACATCTGCCATTGCACCTGGCCAAACGCCTTAGGAAGGGTGAGTGATATTTTAATGGTTAAAAAACAGTTCTGAATGGCAGTAAGGATAATCTTTTATATTATTTCCAATAACAGTCTCTTGCACACTACTTTCCTTTTTTTTTTTTTTTTTTTTGCAAGGATGGGTGGTACTCAGGGACCAAGGATTTATTTAACCCAGGGACATTTTGCCACTGAGCTAAATCCCAGACCTTATTTTTCCTAGAGCCTTGTACATGTGAAGCAGTCTACCACCTGAGCTATATTCCAGCCCCAGCCCCAATCCCAGACCTTTTTAAGTTCCCCATAAATTGCTTAGGGCCTAAGTTGCTGAAGCACTTGAACTTGCAATCCTCCTGCCTCTGCCTCTTCCTGGAATTACAGGCATATGCCTGGTCTTTCATTTCTGAGTCCTTTTCTTCTAGTTTTAACCTGTCATCTAGGGATTTGGGACTAACATCAGGTGAGGGGTTATGCACTCATAAGATAATGTTTCAATGGTACAATTCATGGCTTAGTTGTGCAATTATGGTAAGGCATAAAATCAAGTGCAATTTTAAGTTAACTGCTTGGTCTGGGAGAACCAGTGTATAATGGCAGTGTATCAGCACGTGAAAGTTGTGGTATCTGCAGACAGTAAATGACCCCAAAAGGGCGATTTACCTGGCAATCAGACGTAGGCTAGTGTGGAGGCTGGAAGTCCCCAGGACCAGATAGGATGAGACTTCAGTGTTTTAGGTAGAGACAATTCTTGGAACGTTAGGGACCGACCATAGAGAAGGAATGGGATAGGGAGACATTCTGAGGAAAACTGAAGAGTTTTTCAATAGATCTGATGTAGGACACATGCAAGGTGCATAAGTTGCACCACCTGCTTACGTGGATTGTTTTATATTTTAAATAAAAAGGATACCAACATTACTGGAAACCAAAATAGGAAGCACAGTAATCAAAAGCGGGGTCAAGCAGTTGAATATTGCGTGAGTTCTTCATAGTTACTGGACAGGGAAAAAAAAGATCACATGTATTTCCAGTCAACTTATGTTAAGCGACTTTCAAAAGCAAGGCTGTTTCAAAAAGATTGCAAGTCAAATCCTATTCTATAACCCAAACTACTGAATTGGATACCATTTTATTACATAAAGGTCAATTTAGCAAATATTCACCAGGTACAGTGAACAGATACGAAGTACGGATGAATAGGACGTAAATCCTTACCGTCACGCCTTTAAGAAGGCAGTGCGAATAATTAGCAAAAGACGGACGGAGGAGGGCAGGAGAAGCTGGCTAGGTTTGGAAGGGGGGCGCGAGATGGGCTTGGAGAAACCAGTGTCTCTAGGCAGAATCGCGGGCCGTACGAGGACCTCAGCAGCTCTAGGTGCGAACGCTTGAGCTGCGGCTTCATTTTAAGATRTCAAGTCTGAGGAACGTGGAAAAGAACTCAAAAGCGCAGTGCGCCCGTCGCGCYGCCTCCCCGACCGCGAGGCGCACTTCCCCTCCGCAGCCTTCAAGCCCGCCAGGCCTCCCCGCCCTCCTCAACTACCCACGATTTGCTCTTCGCCCACTCCCCGCCTAGCTGGACCCTACTCGTACTCCAGGCCTCAAGCACTGGACCATTTCCTTCACTCCCACACCAGTTTGCTCCGACAACCTCGAAAAAGCCGGCCAACCTCACGACCCCGCCCCGCCGGGGCACCCCTAAAGTCGCCAAGAAGCCGCCGGGAGCGTAGAGGCGTGGCCAAGGTCGGAAGGGGCGTGGTCACGGGCGGAAGGGGGTCGAAGCGGGACGTTTGTCGCTGAGGCAGTTCCGAAAGTCTTGCACGAGGAATGGCCTCAGAGGGGAAGAACAAGCTTCAGAAAAAGAAAAGCGCGAGGCGCACGTGAGTGGTGGGCAGCGCAGTGGGCGAGGGGCGCATTCGCTGGGGTGCGACTGACTATCGGGGTCCGTTCGCAGAGCGCGCGCGGAGGACCGCGGAGGGAGCGAGGCCGGGGACTACCTGGTGGGACAGGTCGCCGACAGCCTGTTAGGCGGCTTGCGCGCTCCGCGAGGTAGCGACACTACGCTGACCGCCCTCTTCAGCGCCTCCACGCCGCGGGCCCGCCCGGTGTACGTCCCCGCGCCTCAGGTGAGCCAGCGCTGCATCCCCGAAGGCCCCTGAGCGCCCCGGTGCTCGGCGCGGCCTGACGTCATGCTCCTCACAGGAAGCCTCGCGGAAGCGGGGGCGCGAGCCGCGAGAGGAGAGCCCACCCCAGGGTCGCAGGCCACTTTTGCAGGAACCTGCAAAAAAGACGAAAGCGAGGAAGAAACTGTCCGAGGCGGAGGCCAGGTTGGCCGACAGGTTGGTAAAGTTCTCTTAGCCGACGTTAAAGAATCGCATGGTAAGAAATGAAATTTCACACGCCCGCAGTATACATACTAGTTGTTTTCTCACTTCATATTTCGTCCTATTTTTTTGTAAAAATCTTATACGAAGTTGCAAAGAATAAGAAACCCACTGTTGGCAGTCATTAGGACAGACCTGTTTCACCTTTGCACTATTCAAAGTGCCCTCCCCATATGGAATCGAACTTATGGTTTATGTTTTATCAGTAATTATTTCAGAATGTTTATAAAAGGTCAGTTTGGTTTTCCTAGGGAGGAAATTTTTTCTATTAATTGTTTTTTTGGCTGTACTGAAGATTGTTCAAAATTATCTCTGCCACTTGTGCTGCGTCTATCACATACCTATTCTGCCTCCTTAGAGATTGTGCTATCAGATCCTCTCCTTTTCTTCTCTTTTCCTTTGTCTTTGAACTTCTTTAATATATTTTTTTAGTTGTAGATGGACATAATATCTTTATTTTTATTTATTTATTATGTGGTGCTGAGGATAGAAACCAGGGCTCTCTTGCAGGGCAAGCGCTCTACCACTGAGCCACAGCACACTGCACTGTGTTTGAACTTTTAACCATTTAACATGCTCAAGATTCTCTTCTTGAAAAAAAAAATCCAACAACCAAAAACCCCCATTCACGGTTGTTGTGTGTTTGTTTGCTACTGTTCCCACTGTCTTTTTCTTCATATTTGTACTTTTGGGAAAAAGTAGTTTGTTGTTGGACTCTTCCCCATTCTGTGACTTTTTTTTTTTTTTTTTTGTACTGAGAATTGAACCTAGGGATACTCTACCATTGAATCACATCCTTTGCCCCTTTTTTTGAGACAGGACCTCATTAAGTTGCTCAGGGCCTTCCCAAGTTGCTGGAGCTGGCCCTGAACTTGGCCATCCTTTTACCTCAGTCTCCCAAGTCATTAGGATTGGAGGAGTGTGACACCATGCCTGGCTCCTTTTCATGATTTATGAATTTTCCCACAGACTTACAGTCTGGTGGTGTTTTTGTTTTTGTTCAAACCATATAACAGTGCTTGGTGATGCATCTTGACTTACTCGTCATATATAATGGGCATTGCAGCTCTTGTCCTCTCTGTCACATTTTACATTGCTGCTTTCATCTGTGAAGCTGTTGGTTTCTCTGAGAGCAGTTTCTTATAATTCTCTTCTTGCTAGTCTTTTCCTTTTCACTGTTAATGTGGGTTCATTTTGTCTCTTTAAAATGTTTCTTTTCCTTAAAGTTCTTGTTCCTGGTCATCTTCTCAGAACTTTGATTTTTTTTTCACTGTTCATTGTTGGCATTGTTTGTTTGTTTGTTTGTTTGTTTTGTGCACCCTCTTACATTTCTCCTGATCTCTAGACTTGTTTAACTTTTGCCTACTGACATCTGTGCCATGTGCTTTAAATGGAGATGATTCTCCTCATCAAATCTGTTTATGGGCATGATGGTTCCACTCACTTTGTAAGTTGACTAAGCCAGTGTTTTGGGAATCATCCTATGCTGTTCCCTTTCCCTGCATGAGCCATTAGTTGCCAGATGCTTGTACTTTGTTTTGTTTTGTTTTGTTTTGTTTTTAATAGACAGGGTCTCACTTTATCCCTAGGCTGGCCTGGTATTCCTGGGCTTGAGTGATGCTTCTGCCTCAGCCTCCCAGGTAACTGGGATTATAGGTGTGCATCACCATACCTGATCAGTGCTCTTTTAATTACCTCTTTAATTTGTTTTCTCCTTTCCACCTCCATCCCTGTTCTGATTAATCTGTTTTCTTCTTAGATACGCACTGTTGTAATCATCTCCTTACTCGACTGTTTTCTCCATCCTTGACCTCTTCTTTCTTTCTGGCTGTTGCTCAGATTGATCTTTTTTAGATATTTTCAATCTTTGGCAGCTCCCCGTCTTCTGTAGAATAGAAATCTAAGTGCTTTTGCATAACACGGATGTTTCTTCTTGACCTGGACCTTAGTTTACCATGTCATCGTTGTTCCTTTCCATCTTACTGTATACGTGGCATACCATGGTGAGCAGATCTGGATGTGACATGATATACCATGGTGAGCAAATCTGGATGTGGACCCTCTCTGTAGTGGAGATTTGGTCTGGTGAAGAAGTACTTGTAGCCCATGTTTCTTGAGGATTGTGTGCCAGATACTGCTTTTCTCCTCTTAGAAATCTTGTTTCTCTTATTTCTTTTAAGTTCCTATACCATGTATTTTAGCTGATATTTTTTTCTGTTTTGAATTTGGACTGTCTTGACTTTGCTATTGAAAGGTTGATAGTTCTTCATGTCCTCAGAGCCTAGAACATAGTCGGAACCAGCAAGTATTTGCTCGTGGGTGAATCCCACTTCCCATTCTTTCTCCTCACTTCTTAAGATCCCTGTCTCGTTCTCTCTTTGAATCCATGTCAGACCTTATGTCTTTATGTGCACCAATTTACTTTTGATAAGCAGCCTTTTAACTATTACGGAGCTTTTGTAAGTTTGGCGATCCAGCTTTTTCTATTGACGAGATTCTTTTTACAAAGTGAGTGCTTGGTGGCCATATAAACCTTTTTAGATTCCTGGGGAATGCTGCATTGTCTAATTGTAGAGCAGAGACTGAAATTAGGCTTTGATGAAGTATAAACTAAATCTCCGAGAGCTTTAAATAAACTGACTTTTGTTTAGATGAACTTTTGTTGCTGCTGCTATTGCCTGGCTGGTTTTAGCTTGTGTTTAAAATTTGTGCTTAACTTTTTCTAACTCCTGAGTAATAGAATTCATTTTCTAAGTCTCCTAGTCTCTTTTTAGTTATGCTACTTTAAGTCTTTTGATATATTTATTTGTAGTAAGTTTACATTTAGAAAAACCACAAGTCCTGGGAAATGTTTCTAATAAGGAGGGTAAAATTGTACTTGGTCAAATGCTTATTTCCATAACTTCTCATTCTATGTTTTTGCATTAAAATTAGGGAAAGTGCTCTAGCAAGTGCTGATTTAGAAGAAGAAATTCATCAGAAACAAGGACAGAAAGGGAAAAATTCCCAGTCTAGTATTAAAGTAACTGATAGACAAGTACTTAATGATATAGATCACAGCTACAATGTAAGTCAAAGAAAGAAAATTGAGATCAATCAAGAAGAAGAAAGATTAAAGAATGAGAGGACTGTATTTGTTGGGAACTTGCCTGTCACATGTAATAAGAAGGTGAGTTTGTGGTTTTGTAAATATTTAAAGAAATTAATAACTTTATCTACTCTTTCACTATGAGTAAGCACATAATTGATAAGTCATTGATGTAACTTTATTATCAATTACTACATTTATCATTCTACTACACATTGGTTCCAATGTTTGTCCCATTTTCTTATTTCTGTAGTCATTGACCAAATTCAGGCTTTTGCAAATCATATTTGAAATGTCAGAGTGGGCTTTTCCCTAGCTTTTTTCTTCCGGCCTCATCTCTGTTATATGCCATTGGGATAAAAAATAACATTCAGGAGTATTTGTCTCTCTCCTTCACTGCTCTGTCTCTCACACATGAGAATGTACCTCGAGCATAGTAGGGGCTCTATAACATTTGCTGTTGTGAAAGAATGAATACATTCTAAGTTTCTTGAATTATGTCAGTTTCACTAAATCTAAAACATGCCCTTACATTACTATTTTTGGGGGGGGGGAGTGGCAGAGGGACCTATGATTGAGCTCAGGGGCACTTGGCTGCTGTGCCACATCCCCAGCCCTGTTTTGTATTTTATTTAGATACAGGGTCTCGCTGAGTTGCTTAGTGCCTTGCTTTTGCTGAGGCTGGGATCCTCCTGACTCAGCCTCCTGAGCCACTGGGATTTCAGGTGTGTATCTCTGCACCTGGCACTGTTTTCATGTAGTAGTCACTGTATTGACAATTCTTGCATCAAAAAGCTGCTGGTGTTTTGAAAGACCATATAAATTCTACTTCCTTACAATACGAAAGATGTCGTGGTTTTTTCCTTCTCCCTAATGCTTTTGTCTCCTAGCATTTGATTTGTGATTTTTTTAGTAGGCCATCACACATTTTGCTCAGTAATATAATTTTATTTATCTTCCTGTTAGATTATAAAGGGCTTAAGGGAAGGRAGTGTGGCATATGGTGGTTTGAGCAAATTATCATTTGTAAGTTATTTTTTAAACAGAATAAGTTATGGAAATTATTGCCTATCTATAAAACTGCCCTACCTATAAAACCTATGTGTTCTTCACATCCAGGAATAGGAATAATGCTTAAAATTTGCTTTCTAGGAGTTTGTTCAAGCTGGTGGTTTCAATTAGATATAACTGAAGCATTTCTTAGTGTGACATAAGCTTCTTTAAAATTCATTTTGTTTTAAGCCAATGTGAAAAAAATGAGAAAATATGTGAAAATCCCAGTCTACCCTTAACTAACATGGATAAAAGACTAAAAGATCGAAACAAAAGTATTGTGCAATTCATAGGCATTGATATGAACTGAAATTGTGTTTTGTTTTTACTGTAAGTTTCAGTAAAACTTTTTTTCCTTCTGACTGAACAGTACTCATCTGCTTTTCCTCGATTATTCTTAAAGTGAAATCTGGCTTTCGACTTTCAGTCAGTGGCTGGGGTTGTGGCTCAGCGGTAGAACACTCCCCTAGCATGTGCAAGGCCCTGGGTTCGATCCTCTGCACCACATAAAAATAAATAAGTAAAGTTTTTTAAAAAAGACTGACAGACAATTCGATGGCATTACTTTTTGTGACACCTACTTGATATTCTGAAAATGGACTAATTTGTTTTTGTTTTTGTTTTTTAATTTTAGAAACTGAAGTCATTTTTTAAGGAGTATGGACAAATAGAATCTGTACGGTTTCGTTCTCTAGTAAGTTCTCCCCCTCTTAAAATTTCTATCATTGTAAAATTTTTCATGTGAATTAAACTAACTGACTTTTTGGTAATAATGATGGTGGAAGAGCTTTAGGTTTTGGAGTCAGTAGGTATAAATCTAGCACAGGAGAAGATGGCTCTCAGTGTCTGTTGTTGAATGTCAAACTGGTTACATAATTTAATAAGCTCATGTAATAAGTAAAAGTGATGTTCTTGTGTATGTTTGAGGGTGGGTGAATGACTTTGTTGTGTCAATACATTAAGCAGAATTGTTGATACTGAATAGTGTTTCTGGAATTGGGCAACCCTATGAGAGGCATTCAGTGTGGGAGGTTGGCGTGAGGTTGAGCAGGTGTAGATGATGTATCTTTTAATTAATTAATGTTAAAACTTGATTGACATTAGGGGTGCCTGATTTCACCAGTTGCATACTTAGGACCAGTCATGGCCGCATTCCCTGGAGCATGAAATAAGCATAATTCATGTTGTTTGATTTTTTTCCCATTCATGTTTTTCTTTCTGGATAGTTAACTTATAGTAGTATATATTCTTGAACACTATTATTTTTTATTTAAAAAATTTGTTTTTCAGTTGTAGATTGATACAATGCCTTTATTTATTTATTTATCTTTACGTGGTGCTGAGGATTGAACCCAGTTCCTCACCTGTGCTAGGCGAGTGCTCTACCACTGAGCCAAAACTCCAGGCCCATGAACACTATTTATTAATATAGATAATGTATAAGAGTGTAGGCAATGTTTTTTCATGTTTCTAATTGCTCTTAAGTGATTCTCTAAAATAGTTTCTTGGCCTTCATACACTGGCGTTTTAGGCTGGTCATTCTTTGTTGTTGAGGGCAGCCCTGTGCACTATAGGATATTTAGTAACTCTCTGACCCTCACCCACTTGATGGGCAACCCTTCCCACCCTACTTGTGACAACCAAAAATATCTCTAAATATTGCCAAATGTTTCAGGAGACAGGGCTGCCCACTGCTGTACAAGGAGACATTTCTTGAGATTTTGGTAGTCACCATAATCTGTCAGTCAGTGTGTTTGCCATTTGTGTTTTATCTGCCTTTCAGAGTCCCATTTCCCCACACCAGAGCCTTGCTTAGTCTGCTGACTATGTGTCTTGCCATCTTCCCAGCCGCAGTGTACCTGTGCTTACCTCCACCTACCCAACTATGACCTATGCTGTGTGCTGATTTCTCTGTTCCTCGGTTACACCTGGCTGCAGGCTTTGGAGTTGCCTTTCACTCTTTGTCTTACCCAGCCTAGTTTTTCAGCTGGAGTCATTCTTTTTGTACCCCCTGCCCTAGCTACATTCTCATCATCTCTTGTCAGATTAGTAGTAAAGGGCCTGGCACAGTGGTGCATGCCATAATCCCAGTGACTCAGGAAGCTGAGGCAGGAGGATCACATGTTTGAGGACAGCCTCAACAATGTAGAGAAGCTGTAAGCAACTTAGCAAGACCCTGTCTCAAAATAAAAAAAGAACTGGTGATATAGCTCAATGGTAAAGTGCACCCCGATTCAATCCCCAGTACCAAAAAAAAGGAGAGAGAGTAGTTGTAAAAAGCTTTTTAGAGTTTCTTCCTTCGGTTTTCCTGTAGTTTGTCTCCACATAACTGTCAGCTACCATCAGTTTTCTGGAACCCTTGCCACTTTTTCTGTGCCACTTGTTAACATTGTATAAAAACACACATRCCCTGAGTCCTGGTATTGCTCCTCACCACTGGGGAGCCTGCTCAGTCTCTTTTCTCACCCTGGGTTCTCTTTGGCTCCATCCTGCAGCTTGGAACTTTGTGCATTGTTTAGAAACTATTTGATACCATTGTTTGCCTGCCCTGTCAGACTGTAAGCCATGATTACAAGTGCAGTTTAACTTGCTTGTCCTTGAGTCACCAGCACTTGATGACATTGAATATGTATTGACGTATGTATGCTCTATTCTTTTCATGGCCAGTGAAATGTGTGTTTAGTGCTTAGCTTGGTAACATGTTCCTCCACATACAGATTTTGTCATTTGACTCATTTTACTTGGTTTGGCCTGCATTTCTCCTCAAAGTCCCATTTTACCATATTTTTCAGTATGCAGGTAAAACTGGCATTTCTTTAAGCCTTTTCTGATACATTATACCATTAAGTGGTGTTTCTTCCTGTAATTTCTTTTTTTTTAAATACATGTTTTTTTAGTTGTAGATGGTCACAATACATTTATTTTATTTTTTCATTGATGCTGAGGATCGAACCTATTGCCTCACGCATGCCAGGTGAGCGCTCTACCACTGAGCCACAACCCTAGCCCTCTTCCTGTAAATTCTTAATGTGCTTTATTGCTTGGTGTTGCATTTATTTATTATCTTCAGTGACAGGTATATGCCCCATGTCTTGTACTGTTTTTCTGTCTACATTGAGAGTTTATACATTAGCAATTTGAGTAAGACAAACTGAGAAAAGAAGAAATAGTTCAAATTTCTTAGTTTTGTTGTATAAACTTACTAGGTAAGTAAGGGGAGGGAAAAGTGTTCTGGAGATTTTTAACAACTGCCTAGAGAGATTCACCATTCATGGATTGTGAGCTTGCAGGCTTGGTGTATTTTCACCTTGGCCTTTTCAGTACCCAAGCTGTGTTTGGCACATTACTGACCTGACATTTATAAATGTTTTAACTTGAAATTCCACCTCTTCCAAAAAGTATTATCTGCCTGATTCATTTACTCTTAAAAACTGTATATGACTAACCTGTGCATAGTCGCTCACACCTGGAATCCCAGCAACTCAGGAGGCTGAGGCAGGAGAATTGCAAGTTTGAGTCTAGCCTGGACAACTTATGAGATCCTGTCTCAGAATAAAAAGGGCTGGGATGTGCCTCAATGATAGTGCCCCCATGGGTTCAGTCCCCAGTACTGCTAAATAAATAGGTTGAATAGGACTGCAAATAAAGTGATCCTGAATATTGCCCAATTTAAGAAAGCACTGAATGTTTTTCCAATTAGAATACATATACACTTAGAGATACGGATGAGGTAACAAATCCTTTTACATTACTTACTAATTTAGTTAGACATGTTTAAAATGATATAAGATAAACAAGATATTAATCTATAAGCATTGCTCTTTTCTTACTCACTCTATGAAATGATTTTCCTTTTCTTCTCATGCCTTCATTACCAGTGTCTCTACCCCGTGGAGTCACTGGGCGGTTGGCGAAAGCAGTGTCCTGACTTCATCTAGGCCATCTGACAGACCTGGCCTGTTCAGCCTCGTGAGTGCTGCATCTGTAGGGATTTCTGTCCTGAGCCCAGGATATCCCTCTCACGTACCATTAGGACTGTTGTTTCTGATGTGATCATTTCCCTAAAATGCTTCTGATCACAACATGACAGTTAGATATTGGCTTCAATCGAAAGGAAATTATTGAAGTAATATTTCAAATATTGAATTTTCTGTAATACTTTTTTTTTCCTCTTAACAGATTCCAGCAGAGGGAACTCTATCCAAAAAGTTGGCAGCAATAAAGTAAGTTTAATTTAAGGAAAGGAGTTGTCTTAACCTGTCTTCTGTTTTTGTTAAAAATTGAGGTCATTACTTAGCATTTTCATACATTTTTGTATTTGATCATGTAGTGTGCTTGACTATTTCCTTGTGTCTGTGATAGCATATAAATTTGTYAGATGTCTGTATTTAAATATTAATTTAAATTGTAGTTACAAGAAAGTATGGAAAATAATTTATTGAAAATATGCCATGAGAATTTCAAGAATGTTTATAGTGTTTGGAAGAAAATAAAGATGTTTTGTGCCCAAATTCTTTGCTATCAATTGTATATACCACATTTCCTCATTTCTTAGGGATGTATCAGTGTCTGAGCAAGGTGCATCTAAAAATCAGGAGTGCGTATACTTGCTATGGCTAGTCAGATTTTTACAGAGAATTCTGTAGTTAGTTTTGCTGATCATCTTAAAAATGACCAGCCTGTAGCCACTTGAAGTTCCCTGAGGGTTTGGGGACCATACAGGTAGTGATGCTTGGGGTTCAAAAAGGGATGCCCCCTTTTTCTACTTGGTGTTAAGAGTAACATACAAGTCTTGTACCCTCTTTCCACGTGGAAGGTTTATTTCTCATTCCCTTTCAGCTTTATGCGCGGTTTATATTATTGTCTCTGTTGGCTGTTTCTTCTTGATGGTACTTCAAATGGTATATTTCAGAGGCAGGGGTGTCTTTAAGATGCACTAAGGTAGAAGCATTTCAATCCTTTTGAACATGTTGATGGCTTTTTTGGTAATTTGCAGTTGTTTGGTAGAGCAGAGATTTTGCTGGTCTTTCCCCATAACCATTGTAGTGCCAGGTGTGTGGTTAGTACTTGATAAGTATTGACTGACTTCCACAATGTTTGTTGAGGTGACCGAATGTGTAGGTCCTCAACTTGGGGTATTGTGCAGATGCTTTTGGGAATGGGAGACTTGGTGTAGTGCAGCCCTTCTTTTTGAGGTATATAAACACTTATTTCTGTGTGAGGCTGAAACTCAGAAACCTAAATTTCAACAGAAACAGAAGTTCTGACCAGATTATGTTATAGCAGTACTGAGAAGTTTGGGTGGGATATGCCAGAAAATTGGAATTTGCATACTGTGATTGCCATCAGTCTCTGTTTTCCCCAGGGTTTTGTGGTTTTTTTTTGGGGGGGGGATTTTGTTTGTTTGTTTGTTTTTTAATTAAATAGATAATGAAGTGGATGATTTAGACCCACAAAACATGAAAGTGTGTACTGTGAAAGTTTCCTTCCTGTACCTTTTCCCTAAGTTGTAAGTTTCTTGTTCGACCTTCTTGAGGCATATTGTATGTGTTTCCATATTCTTTCCCCCACAGATGACCTGTTTTTTAGATGGGAGGAGTCTAGGGATGGAACCGAGATCTTTATGTTCTAGGCATAGGCTCTACCACTGAGTTGCCCCCCACAGCTCCTGCTTTTGAACTCAGTGATATTTGGTGTTTGCACTATTCCATATGTTCCATTTTTTCTAGTGAGCACAGCTTGGAGATCTGTCTGTATTAGTATAAAAGTAATTCTTTCTCAGAATGTATCTTGTCAGATTTATCTTAATTTATTTGGAAAACATTCCACTGATGGTCATTCATTTTTTCCTCCAAGTTTTGTGGCCATAACAAATAATGCAGAAATAGGTGAATAAACTTGTACTCAGATAATTTGTACATGTACTAATTGATCTGTAGGATAAATTCATGATGGTGAATTGTTCCATTAGAAAGGTGTGGGAGGCTGTCATGTCATGTGACCGGCTTTTTCCTCCCCTGATTGGTTTGAGGCACTGTTGGTCACCGGTGATCTGGCCGCTTTTAAGTAGTCGAAGATGGTAGCCCAAATCTTGAGGGTAGAAATAATGCAACCAAATGTGTCTTCATGTGTAGGTGTGCCTTCCTGCAGCCCCATGGGTCTAGCTATGCTCACCTCTTCCTTTGTGATATAACCCCGTGCCCTGTTTAGGATAGAATGTTCCATGGAAATGCCCTTTATGTTTCCTCTTCTCTTACTCTGCCCTTGGGTGTGGCCTTCCTAGAAGTCAATCAACCTGCTGACAGCAGACATCCTGAAGCTACACTCAGCCCCCTGAAACCTGATCCCTTGCCTCATTTGAATGGCTTCTCCTCAATAAAAGGGGTCTCTGCTCTCTCTCTTTCTGTAGACCTTTAAGGTCAGAGGAGCTGTCACAGCACCCCCAAAGATAAAGGTATTTCTCTCTCTTGTGTGGTTATTTCCTGCAGCCCAGTTCTCTTGGAGTGACCCTGAGTGTTTTAGTCACAAGCAACCGACAGAAAGGGTGTTTGCATTCATTATTTTGGCTGCCATCCTGTGGTGTTGGTCACTTATTAATATTCTTATTCATATTCCCACACCTTTACCAACAGTAGCATTTTTGCTTTATAAAAACAGTATACAGCAGCTCAGTGAGTGAAAGTGTTTCTAATTTGCATTTCTCTTATGCGTGAATGTCTTTAAATATTAAGGAGTCATTTGTTACTTTTTTTCTTGCTTTTGAATTGTTGGTTTTAATGATTACTGTGATGTTAATGAAATCAACCCTTTGAAATAGGAGTTACAGATATTTTCTCTGTCTTGTGGTCTGACTCTGATTGTGGGGGATTATGCTTATGTAAAACTTTTTGCATTTTCATATAAGCCAAAAATTTTTTTTAGATGTTTAAGGTTTAACTTATCTCCAGTAAAACAACATATTTGAAGTGTTATTCTACAATTTTAATGTATGTGGGCACTTGTGAAATCATTGCTAGGTCAAGGTAATGATTATGTGAATACTTCTAGCCCCAGGGATCTTTGTGCATTGGCAGTGTATTCCTTCACCCCTGTCCCAGGGCAACTACTCACCTACTTTGTCTTTGTTTTCATTTTCTACAGTTTTATATGAATGATTTTATCATACAATATGTTGTTTTAATTTTGGATGCTGGAGATTGAACCCGGGACCTTGTACATGTTAAGCATACACTCTACTAGTGAGCTGCACCTGGGCCCAGTACATGCTCTTGTCTGGCTTTTGCTCAGCATGATGATTTTGAGATTTGGGCATTCTATTGCATGCATCAGTGGTTTATTTATTTTTATTGCTCAGTAGATTCCATTGTGGAAATACAAAAAATTGTCCATTCACAGTTATAACATTCAGGTTATTTCAGTCTTAGGCCATCAGACATAAAGATACTAAAAATATTTGGGTATAGTTATTTTCTTTCAAAAAAGTGTCTGTGGTAGATTTTTGGATCCTATGGTAGGTTTATTTTAACTTTCTAAGAAATTGCCAGATTTTCTTCAAAAGTGGTTGCAGCATTTTATATCCCCATCAGCAGGAAATGAGACCTCCAGTTGCTTCGCCAACACTTGTATTGTCAGTCACTTAATTTGCCATGCTAAAAGGTTGTCATTATAGATTTAATCTGTGTTTTGCTGATGACTTAAAGATGGTAATCATCGTTTTTATGTGCTTAGTGACATTCATATCTGTTCTTTGGTGGAAAAGCATTATAAAACTTTGCCCATTTTCTCTTGACTTTTCAGTCTTCTGTTGAGCTGTAAAGAGTTCTCTATATGTTCTGTATGAAAGCCCTTGTGATCTACATATTTCAAATATTTTGTTTCAGTTTTGGGTGGTGGTTTGCTTGTTTGTACTGGGGATTGAACCAAGGCATGCCCTTTCACTGAGCTACATCTCCGGCCTTTTCTATTTTTTTATTTTTTAATTTTATTCATTTTTTAATATATATATTTTTAGTTGGACACAAAACCTTTATTTTGTTTATTTTATGTGTTGCTGAGGATTGAACCCAGTGCCTCCCGTGTGCAAAGCAAGCACTCTACCAACTACAACCCCAGCCCCTTTATTTTTGAGACAGTCTCGTTAAGTTGCTGAAGCTGGCCTGGAATCCTCCTGCCTTAGTCTCCTGAGTATCTGAAATTACAGGAGTGTACCACCATGCTGGCTTGTGATATTTTTTAAAGATACCTTTTAAAGGATCTCAAGTTTGGGGATGGGAATGTGGCTGAGTGGTAGAGTGCTTGACTGGCAAAGCATGAGGCCCTGTGCTCAATCCCCAGCATGACAAAGTAAATAAATAAGTAGATAGATAAATAAAAAGAATTGCAAGTATTAAATTTTGTTGAAGATTCACTGTAGAGAGTGCCATTGTTTGTTGGTTGGCTTGGTAATCTGGTGGGAGTGGGGAACAGTGAGATCTCTACTGTATTGGCTCAATCCAGGCACAGGCAGGCCCAGGAGTCCGTGTCTCGGGAGGTTACTGGTCAGCCCCTCCTTCCTGTGCACCCAAGCTCTACTTTTATGTTTTTTTCTTTCTTTTGATCCTGGGAATTGAACACAGTGGGTGTCTTATCATCTCTAACTCTTATTAATTTTTTGAGATAGGATCTCCCTATGTTGCCCATATTGATCTTCTGCCTCAGCCTCCCATGTAGCTGGGATTACAGTGTGCACCAATGCATCCAATTTGCCTTATACCTTTGTTAGTTCTGCTGTAGTAGAATATTTCCCATCTTTCTGCTGTAGTAGGAGACCTCTCTTCCTTCAGCCACAGTGGTCTCTGTGCCCTGGAAGACAGGGTTACCGTCTGTTTCCTAAAGGTTTAGTCTTCTCCATTGGGACAAGAATCCAGGTGGGACTTGGTCATTCCTTTTTCTTGGCTGTAGTGAGTGCCCAGGAATGCATTCCTGTCTTCTCTGTCTTTTCTGTGGACACCAGTGGAGGGGGTTGTAGGGGTGGGTGCATAGTCCTGCATCATTGGCTTCTGGTATTTTTCTTGAGGCCCAGCTCCCTGCAGAACTAGCATTCCTGCTGTCTCCTCCTTAGAGAGGTGCTGGTTCCTAGCTTAAAAGCTTGTAATTTCCCCCCAAATTCCAGCTTTCTGATAGCTTCCACAAAAGTTATGATGCTATAGTTTATCTGGTTTCTTCTTAGGGGCAGAAGGAGGATGCTCTTTTGGCTTCTGCATTCTCTGTAGAAGAGCAGAACTCTGTCATTAGTTATTGGTGCTTATCATGAGGCTTGTTTCAAGGCCTTTCTTCAAGTCAAGTGGAGCAGAACTGCATGCTTGCCCTTTGTGTTCCCTATGCCAAGGAGGCCTTTTCCCAGAGTAACAAAACCATGTGGCATTCATGTGTTCCTGGAGATAACACTAGAATGTATCAGATTTGGATGGCATCAGAAGCTGTGTATTATGTGGAAAGAGCAGGGCTCTATAGAGTCAGCTAGAGTTTGATTCAGACCTAGACTTAGGATCACAGTCAAGTACTTCTCAAGTCTCAGCTTCCTTATCCATAAAATTAAAAAAATAATACCCATATCTGAGGTGTGAGATTAAATGAGAGACATAAAATGTTTAGCTCAGTGCCTCATATATGTTAGCTGGTTTCATCCGTGTTGGCAGTGTAACTCAGTGGTCGAATGCTTGTCTGGCATGTGTGAGACCCTGATTTTCATCCTTAGCATTGCAAAAAAATAAAATAACAATATTATTAAATGGTATAGTATGTTATTGTAGAATGCTATGAGCCATGCTGTGCATTGTATTTCAGTTTCCTTCTTAATGATACCTATTCATGTGTTAGCATTTTTGTTGCTTCAAAACAATAGGCTGACATCTTCAGGAAAAGATCTTTAGTCATTATGAGGTCCTTTTGACTTATCTAAATTGTATCACCATTTTGAAAACCTACTGAGTTAATGGATTTAGCCTTTGAGTAGCACCAAGGGCTAAATCTTAATGATTGTTGTCATTAAGAAAGAATGAAAACCGGTCATAATGTGTCTCCCCATCAGAGAATATAGCAACCTATCTATGGTCCTGACAAAAGGGCCCAGTCCGAGCCTTATCAATCTTTTGGATCCAGCTGTCAGCTTCCAAGAAATACATGACTAAGGTACATGTTGGACTACACTGCTAGTTTACAGCAGGAAAATTCAGGCACAGTTACTCACTAGACAGTGTTTAAGAACCTGCTTGATCTGTTCAAACAATAAGAGATGGGGGAATCTTGTAAATTAAATGATACTCCAAAGACATATTGAGTGAAAAAAATGGACAAGAGCCAAGTGTAATGTTTAGGAATAGACACTTGAGCGATAGCACCACTTCAGAAAGCAGTTCTTACAAACATGGGCTGATGATGACCTTTGATGACCTTTGAAGGGAAAGGAGGGACTGTAACTTCGAGGGGCCATAGAGAGAGGCTGCTGGTTGGACTGTGGCTACCAGGGCATTGACCTGTTGTTGACTGAATAAGCTGTCCATGAAAGTTCTTTGTTCTTTTTGAATTCTTACTACATATTTACCCAAATAGATGAAACTTCCACCCAGGAATTCTTTTGTCATATGTGTAGATAATAGGAAAAAAGCTAGATTTATTTTAGTGACTTTGAGGTTAACAAATTTCACATTGTTGTCTTTTCTTTCTCTTGTGTAGACGTAAAATTCATCCCGATCAGAAAAACATTAATGCTTATATTGTGTTTAAGGATGAGATTGCTGCTACAAAAGCACTGAACAGGTAATTTTTATAAGTATTTTTTAGTTGTAGTTGACACAATACCTTTATTTTATTTTTATGTGGTGCTGAGGATAGAACCCAGGGCCTCAACGTACTAGGCGAGAGCTCTACTGCTGAGTCACAACCCCAGTCCCAATTTAATGCTTATTTTTAACAGCTATTTCCCCCTTATATTTATAATACAGAAATGGGGCCCAAATTGCAGATGGATTTCGTATTCGAGTTGATCTTGCATCTGAGACCTCGTCTGTAAGTAGTACATAATTACTTTAAATAACTTAACTAGAACCTTATGGAAAGAAATATTTTCTTGTGAGATTAGCTGGGAGTAATTAGTGGAATCAGTAATGTGAACATAAGGAAAATGAAGCAGTCTTTGTCCTCTGGGATCACAGAGTTGGTGCTGGGGCTGGGATATAAGGACTGGCATTTGCATTGCCTTTAAGAACAAGTCATTTTCCCCTTGAAGATTTCTCTACTCTGTCACTCTCAATGATTATGAAAAGTTGGGATGGAGAGTGCATGACACCTGGCCCAACACCTTGTTTTCTAGACTGAGGTCTAAAAGTTCAGTTACTCACTAGACAGTGTTTAATTCTAAGTAATAGTCTCAATTCTCATGCTATATAGTGGAGATGAGTAGAAGGACAAATCGTGATTCTGCTTTATGGTGAATACTGTTACAAGTGCACAAGATGCTCAATTCAGAAATGAGGCACTTGAGGACATGTCAGCAAGAAGAGACAGGAGGGCTTCAGGAGAAGGGATCTCATGATTTTTGAAAGATGAGTAATATTTACATAGGGAGGGGAATTTTTTTTTTTTTTTTTGAGTGATAGCAATATCTGGGCAGAAAAGGCAGTATTAACAGTGGGGACAGAAACCCCATTGCTCAGGGACTGGCAAGAGCTTGACAATGTTATTGGGTGGATAGGATGTGAACGCAGTAGTAAGAGTTAAAGGCCAGATCAATGCAGAGGAGTCCGGATTTGCCAGGAGCTGGTCTGGAAATTCAAATGTGGGAGCAGTGGGACCAGGTTCACTTTTGGCAAAGGCGTCTGTAAGTGGATGAAGAATGGTTTGTAGGGGTTCACCCCCAGAAATAGTGTGTTTCTTTTGATGTCAAAACAGTCTAGCTGAGCTGGGTGTAGTGGTGCATGCCTGTAATCTCAGCAACTCAGGAGGCTAAGACAGGAGGATCACAAGTTCAAGGCCAGCCCCAGCAACTTAGTGAGGCCCTAAGGAACTTAGACCCTGTCTCAAAACAAACAAAAAGGTCTGGAGGTGTAGTTCGGTGGTTAAGCACCCCTGGGTTCAATCCCCAGTACCAAAACCAAAATTTTTAAAAATGGTCTAGTTGAGATATGTTAGTTGCCTATTTGGCATCCTCTCATAGTTTCAGCAAACCATGGCCTCAGGGCCATACCCATCTAACCACCTGTTTTTGTTAATAAAGTTTATTGGTACACAACTAAACTTGTTTCTGTATCATCTGTGGGTTGTCTTGAGCTACAGTGCCAAAATTAAGTAGTTTTAACAGGCCACATGGCCCATAAAGCCTATAACATTTGCTTTCTGACCCTTTTCAGAAATGGTTTGTCAATCCCCAATACAGCAAGCCTTTCCTGAGCACTACTATGTGTCAGTGCCATTCTAAAGGAAAAGGCCCTCCTTGCTAGTCTTTGCTCACTCAGTCCATTGGGAAGATKGAATAGTGAGAGTCACACAGAGGGCAGAAGCATGGTTCAGTCAGAAGGTGCATGACCCTTCAGATGTGGGGGTATGCTGGATGGGAGGATTTAGGGTGCTTCCCATTTTCTGGTCCATTGAGTGATTTTTATTAACCCTCTTTGTTTCAGAGAGACAAGAGATCAGTATTTGTGGGGAATCTCCCATTCAGTAAGTTTGTTATATTATTAAAATAAGGGGCAGTCATAACTCAATGTCTTGCTTAACATAATTTTAGGATATGTGTAACTAACAATATGTTCTTTGGCTACGTTCAACTTGCTATATCAAATATCTCAAGCTTTCCAAGGAGAAGGCAAATTTTTATTTCTGTTGTGGTTGAATTTGTTTTAGAAGTTGAAGAATCTGCCGTGGAGAAGCATTTTTTGGACTGTGGGAGTATTGTGGCAGTGAGGATTGTGAGAGACCCAGTTACAGGAGTAGGCAAAGGATTTGGCTATGTGCTCTTTAAGGTATGGAAGACTAATGCATTTTTTCTATCCCGTGAAGTGCTCAGGGAATTGTCAATGCTGAGTCATCATTCAGATGTCATTATTATTTTCATGTCAAATTCCAACTTAAGAAAACTAAATTCATTGGGCTTAGTTCAGTGGAAGAACACTTGCCTAGCCTGTGTGAGGCACTGGGTTCAATTCTCAGCACCACATAAAATAAATAAAGATCCATCACCAACTAAAAAATATTTTTTAAAAAAAAGTAGAAGAAAACTAAATTCATGATGTTCAATGGTAGAGTGTTATTGCTGTAATTGCACCTAACCAAAAAATGTTTTGGTTCTCCCTTTCTTCTTACTAACACTATTAAGTAAGTAATTTTGTAGGTATTGGATATTACTGGGATTAAATATCTGAATCTCCACCTTGTATAAAATGGAAAAAAAATAATTTACTTAAATCTGAAGAGAATTTTAGTCTTTGCACAAGATTAAATTTCATTCACTAATTATTAGCCAGTGTTTCATGCCCAGCTTTAAGTAGTAAAAGAATGTATTTACATAGCACTTAATTTTTTCTTACCCAGCAGTAACCCCTTTATATAGTTCATTTTAGTTTTTTCCTTCTTTACAGTTGACTTTTATCTGCACACATAAAGCTTTGCAACCCTGCTTTATTTTCTGTCATGTAAGCATGTTTCAGTAAGTGATGTAACATGATCTATAGTGTTTCCCTAATGTTATCAGTGTTTTCTGTTCTTCATTATAATAATGGAATTATAGTGGTTATGTGTTTCCTTGCATTTTGGATTACTTCTTTAGGAAGCACCCCACTGGGATATATGTAGGTCAGAGTATATCACCATTTTAAAGACTTGATAAGTATCACTACTTTTTAGTTGCTTGCCCTATGTTGTATATTCTAGAGATCTTACTGCTTCCCTGATTTGTCTTTTTCTCTTGGTAAGCTTGTAGAGTCTCTTTAACAAACATTCAGGTTAATTAGCATTAATAGTTCTTTATTAAAGTAAAATAATAATAGGATTTTGGACCTGTGTGGAACTCTAGAATGTCTAGTCCCATATCTTCAGGACTGTAATGGAGAATTCCCTGCTCTCACCATACAGTAGGACTTTTACAGAAAGGTGCCTTGGGAAAAGGTTTATTGGTGTATGTATGTTAGTTGAGATCCCTTTCGATGGAGCAATGAGGCCTGACCATGACTCACCTAGGATTTGCCAAGGCAGCTTGAGTGCCCCTAGGGCTATGTGGAGCTTAGCCAGGAGGAGCACAGCAGCACACACGATTGGGCTTCTAGAGTAGGGCTCCTGTGCAAGCTTGATGATCGATGCAGTTCAGTATTGTGGATGTTTTATTAGTCCCTTTGCAGGTGCATTTCTGTTGGAAGTTAACGTATTGGATTTTTTTTTTTAAATTGCAGGACACAGATGCTGTTCATCTTGCTCTGAAATTAAATAATTCTGAGCTAATGGGAAGAAAACTCAGAGTCATGCGTTCTGTGAATAAGGAAAAATTAAAACAGCAAAATTCAAATCCAGGTTTGAAAAAAGTCATTAAACCTAAGCAGAGTCTTAATTCTGCTTCCAAAGATGCAGGACATTCTAAATGTGTATTTATTGGAGAAAAGGCTGTTCTGATTAAAAAGAAAAAGAAAGGACAGAAGAAAAGTAGACAGGCTAAGAAACAGAGAAAACAGAAGTAACCATCAGAAGCCTATGCTCTCCTTCCTGTAGAGGACTGCTGATTTAAGTGGATGAACCCAGGAGTTGAGTCAGGATGTTTATGGATCCTATGTGTGAAATATGAAGACTTCCACAGCCTTAGTTGGTTTTCCATCATAATGATACCTTTGCAGCATTTGTTTTTAGATGCAGGCAAACAAGTTACCATGGATTATGTGTCACTACTGAAGGTACAAGAGATGACTTTGGACCTAAGATGAATGTTAAGATTTTAATGATTATTTATTAGTTTATATTAGAAATACACATTTTTATACTTCAGATGGTGATTGCAAGAATATTATTACTTGGGATGAGACTAAGTTGAAAAGTAAGTAAACTTAAAAGCAAACTTAATACTGATTGCACTTAGACCACGTCTAGTAGCCTCAAAGTGGGAATGCTAATCCCAAGTCTAGTCATTAACCCTGAGAAAGATTCAAAAATTGTTGTAGAATATCTACTCATTTTTCTTTCCTTGCACTTGAGACAAGTGTACTTCTGTATTCTTATCTCATTCCACTAACCCAATAATAACTAACCAACAAGAATATAAAATGAAATGTGGCTCTCATTTCTTACGTGTAACCAGTGACTAGATTGGTTATTGAAATCCTTGGCAAATTGGTCATCAGTTTCCACTTTTTATTTTAATTTGAAAAATGTTCTTGGAAAATTTGTGTTCCTTAAATAGTGTCACTGTGTAGAATAAAATGGTCTTTCCAGAAAAAAAAAATCATTTTTAAGATAAAGTTTTCTAATAAAATACAGTAAGGCACAAAGTATAAAGAAAGGTCAACAAGGGAAAAGAATAGCACTGCATTCACCTAGTGGCAAGCTGGTATCCTCTCAGTTATCTTATCAAGCTGAGTGGTATATAGGAGGGAGGCCTGGTGTTGGGGGAGGTAGATGATGGTGGCTGATCTCTGACAGGCAGAACCTGCAGTGAACAAAGGGTGCAGTCAAGGGAAAGTGAGTTACAGCTGATTTGAAAATCCTGTCTGGGAAGTTACACAGGGAAGACCTAGTGGATCTTTAAAATAGCTCTGTAGAGAGTTGATAGAGCTTCATTTTCCTGTATCCAGGGACTGCACATTTTATATTTGGTATTCCTTATGGCATTTAGAAATTTGATTTTTTTGTAAGTAGGGTTCAGTAAGTATTAGCCAATCATTGTTGAGCATTTTGCACATATTTCTAGTAAAATAAAAATGCAACATCTGTAGACTATAGATTTTATGGCCATATGTAATGTCTTTGCATACATTTGTGACCTATGAATTGGTAGTTTTTGAAAACACAACAGTAACATTAAAATTTTACTTCATGTTTGTTACTGTTTAATTGAAATTTGTACTTTCTCTAGGCAGAATATGCATGTGTTACTATATAGTTTAAAACATATGACTTACGGAAAAAGGAATATGTGTTTTGTAGAAAAATCCCCAGATATTTTGTGTAATTCTTTGTTACCTGAAAAAAATTCTGTATCATGCTATATGTGATTAAAGTTTTAGCCACAAGAGTTATATATGGGTGGTCAACAGTGGCTAAACTTTTCAGGATTGTAAATAAAGATTATTGGTTGTCTTTATTGATCATGATCATTATTCTTGTTTTTACTCACCCTCTTCCCCCCCAACTCTGTCTTGTGAATGTATTTCCTAATAATAATCCTGGGCTTAAAATGCTGGGTTAAAGAATTCTCACTTATAATGAGAATATAAAGGAATGCTTTTACATCACTTACCCAAGTACTTTCTCACTGGGATCAGATGGAACATAGTGCCTTGAACATAGCTTGCATAGTTTGTTTCCAGCTTTCATGTACAGAGCCCTGGAGTGGTTGTGTGTTTTGTTGTTGTTTGGTTGTTTTTTGGTACTGAGCCACATCCCCAGCCCTTTTTTGTATTTTATTAGGGTTTCACTGAGTTACTTAGTGCCTTGCTAAGTTGCTGAGACTGGAATCCTCCTGCCTCAGTTCCTGAGCTGCTGGGATTAAAGGCATGCACCACCTTGCCCCGCTTCAGTGGGTTTTTGATCTAGCTCATTAACTGACCCTCAGCAATCTCTGTACCTAAATATTTTGATTGGATGGAGATCAGTGGTCTCCTGTTTTTGTGACTAAAATTACCTTTAATTTTACATAGTGACAAGTATAAACATGAGTATATTTAACTGACATGATAATTTTTTAAATCGATTTAAAATTACTGGTTATGATCCACTAAGGTTATTTCACAACAGAGTCCACTTAGAACTTGTTGAGGTGACTTTCAGCCTGAAAACATTTCTAAAGTGTAAATGTAAATGTTTTTCATTAGAGTTTTGCTTTTGTATATCTCACAGTAGCTGTCAACACTGACATTGCATTTACTTCACACAAGACTGGGGGGGGAGTAGTACCTGTTTTGTGTTTATTCAGGAGTCATAATGTGGCCACCTAATCTCATTTTCAGGAGGCCTCTCATTGTCAGCTGTGTGGCTTTTTACAAGTCTGATTTCTCTTTTCCTTGGAAGGAGGGGTGCTGGGGATTGAACCCAAAGCATTGTGCATTCTAAGCTAGCTCTCTACCAATGAGAATCCCTCAGGCTCTGCAAGTTTTTTGTTCCATAGGGCTGAGGCTCAGGACATAACCTCCTTCAGTAATTGAGGTTTGCTGTCAGCTTTAGGGAATGAGAACGAAAATGTGTGTATGCGGGATATAACAAAAATTGCGTTTTGTGGGTCTCTTGTGTGCAATCCTGAGTCAAATCATTCACTCCACCTCCACACCTCTTGCCCCACCCCAGTCGGAGCAGATGCACATGTTAGCCAGGTCTGACTTCCAGTCTTGGGGGGCTCAGGTTCCTCAGCACTTAACGCAGGCGATGACGTTGGGTTCTGTGAATGCAGGTCTCCACGGTGCCTCGGCCTGGCTCATAGGGTCCTGGGACAGTCCTCTGTATACTGCTATGCCTCAGACCCGGCCACGAGCCTGGGGACCTCGCACCTGGTGTTACCGATTACCTTCTCTGGTCCAATGCACTGAAAGGGCTGTAAAATCAGATTGCAAACCTAGGCGCTAGTCAGAGCCGGCCATTGGAAAGGCGGATGTTCCATGCATGTTCTATGGAGTTGCCCTATTTTTCTCGCATATCTCATGACACCTATTGCAACATACTTTATTTTTAATATTTATTTTCTAGTTCTAGGTGGACACAATATCTTTATTTTATTTCTATATGGCGCTGAGGATTGAACCCAGTGCCTCATGCATGCTAGGTGAGCACTCCACCACTAAGCCACAACCCCAGCCCGCAACATCCTTTTTTAAGTGAATTACTGTGCCCAACTCGATCAGGACTGGACTTGCAAGGAAAGTGCACGTCACAGACCGCTGGAAACAACTGCAAGACAAAGCTCAGTATGCAGTGGCCTTCTACCTTTGTTCTTGCCTGCGAAGATCCCTAGCGCCCGACGCTCCGCTGCGCTCGCTGGGGTCGCAGGCTGTGCGTGCGTGCGTGCGTGCGTGTTGGCGCACTCCGCCGCGCAGGCACCAARGCAAGCGCCCCGGGGTCCTCGGAGCCGGAAGCGCCTGTTCCTCCTTCCGGCGTCCAGAGCGACGGGCGGCGAGGCTCGTTCTAGTGCTCGCGGCTGCTTTGCCGCACTGAGGAAAGATGGTGGGCCGGAACAGCGCCATCGCCGCCGGCGTGTGTGGGGCGCTCTTCATCGGCTACTGCATCTACTTCGACCGCAAAAGGCGGAGCGACCCCAACTTCAAGAACAGGCTTCGGGAACGTGAGTGGGCCCTCGCGGACCGCGCGGCGCCCCTCCATCTTGGCGGCGGGCGCGGCCTCTCCTTGGGCCACGCACCGTTCTAAGCCTCGGTCCTTAATCCGAAGGTCGAGCCTCCCTACTAGACGGAGTTCAGCCCGGGCTGGAACCTGCATGCCCACTGCGGGCGTTGCATTCTTAAACCCTCTTGGCGGCTTCGCCTAGTGCTTCCAAGATATGAGTGAATGCTAGAGGAATTGCGGGGGAGTCCAAAGGGCTGCGCCTCTCTCGTGGCTCAGCCTCATTTCATACCTGCGACATCTTTTAAGAGCCGCTTCCCGAGGGAAGAAGTCATGTCCCCAGAAACGTTCGTAGGCCGCCTTGCGTTTCGGGGGGAACTTTGTTCGCAGCAGTAGAAAAGCAGATTTGTTTTAATAAGAAATATTTTGGTAATCTGTCCAGGTGGCTCAGCCATGTGGGTTGTTAAGGCTGCGGTCGCACGAAGAAGTGGCCGCTCTGCTTGGTACTGGGTGGTTAATTCGGCAGTACCAGGTCGCCGCACGTGGTCCGTAGCCGCACGCGGCTCGCGTTCTGGAGCGCGCTGGTCGTAGACCTGCCTTGCAGCACGGTCTGGCTCCAGGCTTCAGTGGGGAGTGAAACCGAGGATTTGGTCCATTTACCGCTAGGTAGTCTCACGGAAAGAGCGATATTCTGGACTCAGACACTGGGTTTCCAGGCCCGGGTTGGTCACTGATGAGCAACATGATCTTGGGCTTTCTGCATCTTAATTTCCTTAGCTGTAAAATCAGGTAATGCGGCTTGCCTCTTGTTGGTTTGGGGGAAAATAAAGTGTGAAGTGCTCACCATGATTTATGATGTAAATGCTGACCGTTAAGGATGACTGTTGGAATACAGGTCTATGGTTTCAAAAATGTATTGGGGGTGGAGGTGCAGGTGCAGAGTTCCATAAAAGTAGATTAATTATACCTTTGGAAGATTTGAAGATCTGTCTTAAAAGGGTTTCTTCCTCCCTTAAGCACTGAGGTTGGTAGGGAAGCCCTCTACTACTGACCTATACCCCCAACCTTTTTTATTTTGAGGCAGGGTCTAGGTTGCCTAGGCTGGCCTCCATCTTGCCATATTACAGGCAAGTGCCACCATACCAGGCAAGAAAACTGGTTTGGGGTTAAAGAAATCATAAGAGCTATCATTTTAGACGAATTGAGAAAGTTATTCCCAGAGTGCCTTTTCCATCACTTTCAGTCCAAATATTTTTTTAGCTTTAGCTGTGATATGATCATTTTAAGTGGATTACTAGCTCCAGCAGTAACAACTTCAAGCTTTTTTGTAAATGATGTGATTAAAGTATAGAGTTTAGTACTGCCCTGACACAGTAATTGGTGAATGCTAGAGATTTTAATTGATGTTTTTTGCTAACAAGTAAAACATCTTTGATTCATGGTAATTTTGCAGTTTGTTTAAAGTTGCATGGTTGTTACTAAGATTTGGGGTATTTTGTGTTTGTGAATGAAGTTGATTTCAGTTCTTTTAAATTTGAATTTCTCTAGTCTAATTTCCAATAGAATACTTAGAATATTTATATTTGCAATGAATAGTTCTTCAAATCAGTCATTTAGGTTTTTTTTTTTAATAGAAGCTTATGTTGTTGAAAACAAGGTTTGGGGGTAKTTTGAGATTCTGGTTTATTGATACTTTTCATTTTCTGTTACCAAATTGTCTATGCTGTGTGTGCATGCTAAAGATTGAACCCCAGGGTTTTGTGTAAACTGGGCCCGTGTTCTACCGAAGTTTTATACTTACAGCCCCTTTCAATACTCCAAAGCATAATTTTTTTTTATCAATCTGAGTAATCATAAGTGAAATTTAATCTCTAAGTTATAGTGCCAGCTGTATACATGCTGTGAAAAGGGTTTTGCTAAATTGCCAAGACTGGTCTCCAAATTGTACCCCACTCAAAAAATAAAAAAGGCTGGGAAAGTAGCTTTGTGTTATAACCTCTGGTTATACTATGCTGTGTAAAATGATACATCATTAGAACTATTTTAAGCTAGCTTTAAAAATGATTTGTGACTATTGTAAGCTTATATTTGTGGATATTTTTGAAAGTATACATCCCTGTTTTAACTTAAGTTCTCAAATTTTTTGAGATGAATATCAGCAAATACTGAGTCAAGGCCTGGTTTTGCAGATTGAATGTGTAAGTCTTTTGGGCTTTTTTTGTTTGTTTTAGGTGAACACAGTATCTTTATTTTAAACTTTGCTGATGTGACAGTCACAAGTATTCAGTGACACCATGTACTCCTCCACACTCTGATCACAAATGGAAACAAATTTCATTCTACTGGGTTTCATTGTCATTTTTGTCATTTTCCCCAAATTCTGGTGTAGTGAATTGTATTTTTCACTGTTAATTCCACAAGTTTCTTTTGTTCATTTCTGAAAAGCCTTTTATTTTTACGGGTATGTCTTTACTGCTTTATGCTGTTGAGAGGCAGAATAGAATCATGTTTGAGGACATGTGCTCTGAAGTTCAGCTTACTAGTGAGTGACCTTGGCAATTTTTCTCATTTGTAAGAGGGAGGTGACATTAGTACTTGTTTTAAAGTCATTGGGAATATTAAATATGATGTTTAGACCAGGCATGTTGGTGTACATCTGTAATCCCAGTGACCCTGGAGTCTGAGGCAGGAAGATAGCAAGTTGTAGACCAGCCTTGGCAATTTAGTAAAACCCTTAGTAGTTCAGCAAGACCCCATCTCAAAAAATAAAAAAAGGGCTGGGAA